AAGCCCCACCCATATAAAGGGCTATCTGATTTTTGAAAATCGCCATTCTTGTGCCTTATCCAGCAGTTGCTAAGGTGCCTACTATGTACAAATCCTCTGGAGCTGACAGGCTCCAGATTCTTCCAAAGGTCTTAAGCCTCTGCAATGTCAGGAAAAGGAGCTGCTTTGTCCAAATAGGTTTTAAAGCAGACAAGTGAAACTTTTCCTTATATGGTGAAAAGCGCCCTGTCGCTTTAAGGCCAAGAGACTTGGCTGCAGAAGGTCCCTGGGAAGTTTGCAGGCAGCCCCATCCTGTATCTGATCCTTGCAGCTGTGCAGGTGAGTTCCCAAACCTCTCCCCAATTTGCCCTCTACCATTCCTCTCGCGGCTCAGCGAGCTGGAAATGCTGCCATATAGGGCTAGAGGATGCCGGGGTCAGTAGAGATGGTGTTGTCTGGAGAAGTTTGAGTGAAGGAAAAAACAAGGTTACTAGGGAAATGTGCACTAGTGCAGCCAGTGAGAACGCTTCTAACTTCCAGAGGGGAGGAGGCATCAAGGTTACAGAAGGCCCTGAGGCATTCCAGGACAGGGCAGGGGAAGAGAAACAGATTGTAGGTAAGACCCTGCAGGGGTTAGTTTGGATTCCTGAGCTATATAGAATTTGGTTAATTGCAAGTTTAAACCAAACACAGCCGGGAGGAAATCATCTGCAAGCACTGAAGGCTTTGCAGGAGCGGCAGCTACAGGGCTGACTGAGGCCGAGAAAGTATATGTGAATGTTTGCAGCGTCTACTGGCGTGGAAGGCTGCGGCCTTAACTCTTCGTGCAGCCTGGCTGGTTTGCAGGTAGGGTTTGTACAGAGCATGGGGTGGGGGTAGCGGTGCCTGTGTGGAGTATTGCAATAAGAGACTAAATAAATGGATAAGACTTGATTGTGGAGATGCATCTCTGGTATCTTCACAGTACCACCTGCAGAGAAGAGCCTTCTAAGCTGGGAAATTCTGTGTCATCCACAAGAAAGGGCTGGAAGAAATCTCATTTAACCTGATTATTTCTCTTGTCATTTACTAATTCAGTTTCTTTTCTCCCATAGCCTGGAGCCTCCTAAGATAGTAATTTGAAATTAACTAATAGAAGTTTTTAACAGTTAAAGATGTGTTAGCACAAGTGTGTGTCTATGAAAGGCTGAGATGCATACAGTTAGGGTTGGGGTTTTATAGATAGGACAAAAAAGAGGTGGGCACGGCTAAGAGAAACACTTGATGGTCATTTTACAATGCATCCAAATGTAACTGAATCCATTCATCAGCTACAGCTAGAAGTCCACCCAGGAATTTAAAAAGAGAGATGCCAAATTATAGGGCTTGGAGTCATCTTCCTCCTGGTTGGGTCTGGGGCTATTCATCATTCAGAGGCCAGTGGTTTCTCTACAGTTGTTGTGTGTGGGAGTGAACACAGAGGCGGGATTAAAATTCTTTACATACCCCATGCCTTTAAACAATTCATTCATCTGGGTAGTCACTGAAGAATTCTTTTTATTATTAACTAACGAGTGCTCTATCCACTTGTTTTCGAAAGACAGAATGTTCATGAAAAGGGGTTTTGTTTTATCAACAGGGATTTGTTAGTGCGAGGGTCCCTCTGTTCTCACTTCTGATGGGTGGGCAAAGCGCTCATTATTGCTTGCTGAATAGACAGAGCTCTTCTTGACTCTAAAAACCACAAAGGGCTGCACTTGAGGCTTACCCATTCAGAAAGGCTGGTGTCCTGGGCAAAAAGTTAACTTATGCGTTCACGATCTGGAAGAGAGTAGAGTGCGTGGGTATAACTTTGCTTCATTTTGTATCAAGCTAAATCCAGAAAGCAGTGTCAAATATACTGCTTTCAAATGTGAACACTGCCAAGAAAAATAAAATCCTATCTCCGAAGCTGGAAAATCTCAAAAAGTAACATACTGTGATCTTTTATAAGCTAAATCGAGGCATTTAACAAGAAAAAAAAAAAACATGTGGCTTCCTGAACATTTCACACAGTGACCCTCAGTCGTATTTGGCTGCACAAATTCATGCAAGCCATTTATTTTACCTGTGCCTCAGTTTCCTCGCCATTACAATCGTGCGTTGTTGGGAGAGCTTTTCAGTGAAGTGGAAAGAGCAATGGGACCTGGATTTGAGAAGATCTGGAATAGATTTCCAGTCCCTTTATTTATTCCATAACCTTAGGGCAAGTTACAGAGCCAGTCTGAACCTCGGTTTTCTTATTTGTAAAGTAAATAATTAACAATGTCATTAGAAGGACCTAGAGCCCAGTAGAGCCTCCATAAATGTTATTTTTCATTTCGTTCTTGTTCTGTGACTTAGGAAACTATATCATTCCTTGGGGGAGGAAATGAGTTTTGAGAACGAAACCAGCCCTGAGGCACAAGTTTAGAACCACAGTTAGTTCACCGGTTCTCCTCACTCTCCTTCAAAAAGGGATGCCCAACTCCCTAGGAAACCCTCTCCTAATTATTAACGGGCTCATTGTTTAGAAGTTTTTCTTAAACCAAACCCACTTCCACTTATTTTCATGTATTCAGAGACATGAAGAATAGTTAGTTGTTCTCCTTAGGTATAAAAATATATACTTGAAGAACAATAGTAAGCCATCTTAGGATCTCAGTAAAGGTGGTCTATCCAAAAGAAGTTTAAAAGGCATTTTTAAAGGAACTTTTTTTTGTTGTTATAAGGCATCTCTTACAAGTGTCTCACTATTAACCAATGGCTACTTTTCTGTAAAATCTCCTGGCACATTCACTCACACAGCTGTATTTAAGAACATGATTTGTGTTGCTTTACGAGTTTTCGTTTGTTCACTTCAGGTCGTTGTAAGAGCAGGTTTGCCGTCCTAGCTGTGTATGACACACTTAAACTGAACACGTTCTCTCCACCAGCTTAGAAAGGTGGTGATAAATTTTAGCAGCAGGAACGTTTCATCAGAAGTACAAATCATAGAACATATGTCAGCTGGGGGTTGGGAGATGTCGTTATTAACTAAAGTACAGGTAGGTCACCCCCTTAGCCAATCTGCTAGTCATGTGTTAGCATCACCTCTGTCAGGAGACTGGTGTTTGGATCCGCACTTGGTCACTTAAAGTGGCTTAGTACTCTGGGCTAGTTCCTTTGTGTGTCTGAGCCTCAGTTCTATGGTCCGCGTTTATGGGGATGATAACAGTACCTCTGCCCATGGTGCGGGAAAGGCAGGAAAGTTGGCAGCACAGATGCTCGATAATTATGTTGGATCCTCGTACTTTAATAATGAGACACCGGCCTTAGATCTTGTCTACACCCTTTAGAACAAGGCAAGTTCGAGTATGTGTCTAAGGGTGTATAAATTACATTATTAATAAAAAATTAAGTTTCTAATTATGAGGAGCCAAGAGAAGTAGGTGCTGAAGCAATCATGGATCTCGCTGCAGGGTTGGCTTTGGAAACAGGTTTAAAATCTGCTGGGTCACACAGGGCTTGAGAATGATTGCGTTCTTCAAAAATATTTTTAAACTTTTAACCCCACAGGAAGTACTTCTGTGTCTGGTTCACTGGCACAAGGAGCTGGAGCAGGGGAAAGCAAATGGTCTCGATTGAGCAGGTGGAATAGAGAAATCCTGGGAGAGTTGCATCTCTTGACACGTTTTTGACTCTTGTTCCTCCCCGACCCTCCATTATTCACCTTGAGCTTGTCAGAGAGGATTCATTCATAAATCACCACGCTGAGGAAGCCTGAGGAAGTGACTAGACCAGCTTCTTGCCTTCAGTCAAAGCTCACTTGAAACCACAAGTGGCCACCTAACCTCTGTTCAGAGAAAGGGCCCTTTCAAGTTCAGTCTGTTGTCTACCCGCACTGGGCTGCATTTGAGAAGTTATCGCCTACCCTTGTAATACAAGCCCATTTACATTTAGTATGCTCTGGGTCTGTCCTTTATGTTGTGACAAATTGCTATCCTGCCTGTGGGAAGGGGCCACTGGGGTGGGGAGTGCGGATATGGCCACAGCCTCTGTGAGGGCCAGCACTCCTTGTCTCAGTGCTGACTCATCACCAGGTGAGCAGACATTCTTCTCCCCTGACTCCATCACTGCTCTCCCTCCACCTCCCCAACTCAGCAATTCCCAAACCAGAGAGAGCTTCCATCAGAATTACCCGGAAGGTTTATTAACGCGTAGTGCTGGGACCCGTCCCGGAGTTTCTGATCTGTAGGTCTGGACTGGGGCCTGAATATTTGCAGTTTGTGTCAAGTTCTCAAGTGGTCTGGGAACCACATTTTAGGAGCCACTCCCGTAGTCCAACGCTCAACACTGACTACTCTGGTAGTCAACACTCAAGTGTTTTCCAACAACCTGCACCTTTTCCGCCTTCTGAGATGATACTTCCTCCGTTCTTGGGGGGTGACATAGAGCCTTCTCCTCACCACAGTTATGTGTTACGTATGTTTATCGAATTCTGATTGTAACAAGCATCTGCTAAATACTTTACCCATATTATGTGTAATTTTTCCCAATAACCCTGAAAGTTTGGTATCATGAAACAAACAGAGAATGGGTAAGTCACTAAGATTTCGCAGGTAGCAAAGAGCAGATATGATATTCGAACTCAGATTTATCTGGAAAGATTTGCTCTTTCCACTCTTCCAGGCATGACCGATAGATGTCTGACATGTACGTCAACACTGATTCATTGGTGGCAGCTGTCACCACTGGGGGCAGGGTGGGGACCCAGGTGGAAAGGGAGTTCAGAGGGGGGGCCGTTCTGGAATGGGGGGATCGTACCTGCTGAGGTTTCAGGGCTGGAGAGTGACAGCATGGGTACCATGTGTTTGCCATACCCACACTGTGCATTGTTTGTGGGTCTGTTTTGTTAGCTAACAGAATCAGATGAGATGGATATTCAAACTTGTTCATAGGGAATGATAAAATTTATTTTACTTTTCCTCCTCCTTCTCTGAAGTTCTCAAAAATCTAAGTTTTGAGGCTAGGTTTGAGGATGTATAATAACCTGTAAAGTAAAATAAAATACAACTGGTATATAAGTAGTAGTAACCACCAAGGACATTTAGCCTTAAAATGGTTGAGACAAAAGATTGTATTAATTATAGTCTTTGTATGTTACATGCCTTTCATTGTGACCGATCTAATGGCTGCCTTATACTGACATAATCCACTGTGACTTAATAAGGAGATAATGACATTTCCAGTTCCTCCCTCAGTCATTAATAGTCGTACACCTTCCCACATTAATAACAATGTGGAATTAGTTATTGTTAGTGTTTCCATTCTTTATCTAATAGATGAGTTTGATAATGCTTTCTGTTTCTTCCTAATATTTTTTTATACATGTTATTAAACAACATATACCTTTATGGCATCTATTATTCAATCAACAGATATTTTAAAAATATATCCCTGGGCACTGGGGGATATGGTAACAAACAAAACAGACTGCTCTCATGGAACTTACGTTCTAGGGAGAAGAGAGACAGGCAATAAACAAGTGAACAAATAAAGAAGAAAACTGTATAGTGATAAGTGAGCATAGAGAGAGTGACGCGTGTGTGTGTGTGTGTGTGTGTATTGCTAATTTAGATGGGGTGGTCAGAGAAGGCCTTTCTGAGGAAGTGACATTTAAGCTAAGAGTTGAATGTGGAAAAGAGCCAAATATGGATGGTCTGGGAGACTAGTAGTCAGAGAGAAGAAACAGCCTGTGCAGAGATCCTGGGGGTGAAGTTAGTAAGGGGCCAGATCAAATAGGCTAGTCAGGGTTTTCAGCTGGGGGCGATGCAGCCCCCTGCCCGTCTAGAGGGTATTTGAAGACG